CCTACAATCACCATGTGATATAAATGCCTAAACCCCTTCAAATATTTTTATCATTGAAGAGCTTACACTAATGAAGCAGGAAAGAAAAAAATAAATGACCTTCGTGTATCAAAAAAAAAAAAAAAAATGTCATGGGCCATTCCCATGGCCTGGTGATTAAGGGAGCCAGATCCCACATGGCCACCTGCACAGTTCAAATCTCAGCCCTGGCTTGAAAAGCCCACTAGGAATACACCTGTGAATGCATGCCCCAAACTGCAACACAGTAAACAAATTAAAGAGAAGGGACTGCGGCATGATCATGCTCTGTCGGGGAATTCTTTCTCCTTCTCCCTTCCTATATCTCTGTCTCCCTCTGGCAAGTGCACAAACCCTCTGGAATTTTTTTTTTTAATTTCATTCCTTATGACTACTTAGATCAAGCATAAAAAGGGCAACAAGATAAAAAGAAAAAAAAAAAACACTTTAGATTGGAACTCAAAATGATTCCTTATTCTGAGGTTTATATTATAGTTCTAGATTTTTTTTTCTTACTTCTGAGAAAAATTTTTAAAGAAAATTATCCACTATTATACACCGAAGTATTTAGGGTTAAAAGGGCATGATGCCTGCAAATAATTTTCCAGTGATTGAGGAGAAAACAATATGTGTGTGATAAATTCAAAGAAAGCATGCAAGTTAAAGCAAATATGAACAACTGGTGAATCTGAGCTAAAGGATCCCTTCAACTATTTTGAAACTTTTCTGTAACTTTGAAATTATATAAAAATAAAACGTTTCCCCAAAATTTTATTCAGGATTAGGGAAAATATTATAAAAATAAATATATAATCTATTCAACTTTGCACAATGTTTAGAAATATCTATGCCTTTGAGTTGTTATTTTACTTTTCTACAACTTTCTACCAAAGCAAATCAAGCAAAATAGCAGTATAATTCTAAAAGTAATTTGTTTCATACCAGTGTATTTTGGGGTTACCAAATGAAATACAGAACTCCCAGTTAAATTTGGATTTCAAACAAATACCGAATAACTTTTTGGTATAAATTTGTTGCAAATATACATATATTTAAAAAAAAAATTGTGGGCCAACAGGTGACATAGTGGTTAAAGCACTGGACTCCCACATGGCCAATCATGGTTCAAGTTCCATATGTGGAGGCAAACTCATGCCAGGCACATATGTGCCCCAAATCCCGAGAGAATGGAAGAGGAGGGACTGCAGCATAACTATCCCCCCTAAGGGGTGATTTCTCACTTTCCCTCTGTCTCTCCTGCCAGCACACACGCCTTATAGCAAAAATCTCTCTAAAAAAAAAGAAAAAAATAATAATAGTTGGGGGCCAGTCCAGTAGCCTTGTAATGAAGGGAGACAGAACTCACATGGCTGACACGGTTTGAATCCCAACCCTGGTAGCTTGAAAAACACAAGCTGAGGGCATGTGCACACATACCCCAAATCCTGTCAGGGGTGTAGAAGAGGAGGAAGAGGGTACGGTGTGACTGCCACCCACTAGGGCGTGCTTTCTCCCTCTCCCTCCCTCTGTCTCCAGTAAGTGTAGGTACCACCTGGAAATTAAAAAAAAAAAAAAAAAACAGCAAAAAAAAATAAAACTATGTGTTGTTTATCTGAAATTCAAGTCTTACTGGGCATTCTGTATTTTTACTTGCTAAATCTAGCAATGCTAAATATACTGAAATATTCTAGGCTATTAGTTATGGATTGACTCATGAGCCTCCTTAGCATTTCCCTATTAAATACCTGCCACATTTTCTACTGTCTCATTTATATTACATCTTCTTACACAAACTTTAGTTTAAGAAATGTACATTATTCACTTAGTTTTATCATATATGAATTTGACAATCCTGCTTTTATTTGATATTAAACTTTAAAATTTGTACCACATTACAAAGTATTACTTATACTCAACAGTATTTTACATAGACTTAGCACAATTTAAAAAATTGTTTACTTAAAACAATATAATTCTCCTTTTACAAAAGCAGCTTTATATAAAATGTTTGCCTTAAGGCCACCATCGTTACTATGCCCTCCAATGAAATTCCACTCTTTGGCCTCCATTGACTAGAAGCAGGCACGTTCCATCTCATTTTCTTTAATGAATATTTTGTAACAAGTTCCTGAAGTTTTCTAATTCTCTCACACTTGTAGAAATTCTGTAACGAAAAAGTATTTCACTTAGCTATCACCTTAGCTACATTTTATCTGCAAAAGTTATCTACTTTGCATTTTTAAGACGATAGAAAAAATTTTAAGTAATTTATTTCAACAAATATGAAGATTCATAAACCATTTAATCTGTTCCAATGTACGTAGTTCTTAGTTTGACATGGTAAAAAATAAAATAATACTGGGACCAGCAGTTGGCATAATGGTTATGTTGCTCTACTCCCATGTAGTCGACCATGGTTCGAGTCCCAGACCCGGTAGCTTAAACTCATACTGGATGCGTGTGTGCGTGCATGCCCGAGATCCCAAGAAGAGAATGGAGGAGAAGGGATTGTGGCATGGCCATCCCCCGGGGGGTGATTTCTCACTTTCTGTCTCTCTTTCTGTCTTTCTGGTGAGTGCACACGCCCTATAGCAAAAATCGCTCAAGAAAAAAAAACTAAATTAGTATTGCCCACAGATTGTTAATGGTTACTTTTTGGTATTAAAGTATCAAAATACATAAGTATGAGATATGCAGACAGTAAAATACTTATGTATTTTAAGTACTACTAAGTGTACTTAGCATTAAAGTATTAAGATAGATGAGTATGAAGTATAAAAATATGTTGAGTATTACCGTATATTTTTTCTTTTTTGGAGGGAGGTTTTTGCAATAGGGCACATCCGCTAAACAGCAAGACAGAGACAGAAAGACAGAAAGCGAGAAATTACCCCCCCCCCCCAGGGGGGATGGCCATGCCACAATCCCTTCTTCTCCATTCTCCTCTCAGGATCTTGGGTACGCACACACATGCACCTGGCATGAGTTTACACCACTGGGTCTGAGGCTCGAACTGCGGTCGACACATGGGAGTCCAGTGATATAGCCAATACACCAACTTCTGGTTCCAGTAGTAAGATATTTTAAGTATTCATAATACATTCATATGCTTAATGTTAATATATGAAAATATTAAAATATATTTTTTAAAAATGTTTAAAGACATGAATACTTAAAAGTAATATACCATATTTAGTAAATGTACAAAGAATCAAAGCTATTGGGCAATAAAAAGTGAGAATGGTACATGTGTAACCAAATTGTTTTCACTAATTTTTTTATAATTTTTTTCAGAGAGAGATTTATGCTGTAGGGTGCGTGCAGTCACCAGAGAGACAGTGAGACAGAAAGCAAGAAATCACTCCCCTGGGGGGATGGCCACACCACAATCCTTTCTCTTCCATTCTCTTCTCAGGATTTTGGACATGCACGTACACATGCCCAGTATGAGTTTTGTTTGTTTTTTTTGTTTGTTTGTTTGTTTTAAATAATTATTTTATTTAACTTTATTTATTATTATCATTATTATCTTCCAGTTTGATCAGAGAGACACACAGAGAGAGAGGAAGTGAGAAAGCAAGCCACCAGGTCCGAGACTTGAACCGTGGTCGGCCATGTGGGAGTCCAGCGCCTTTAACCACCATGCCACTTGCCGGCCCCAACCCACTGTGAGTTTTAAGCTGCTGGGTCCAGGACTCAAGCCACAGTCGACTACATGGGAGTCTAGTGACAAAACTATTACACCATCTGCTAGTCCCTTCACTAATTTTTATAAAAGTAAAGTTTATTCCTTTTTTAAAATATACTTATGTTCTGTTTCCCACCATGAAAAAAGTAGCAGAATACTCAATGAAATATAACTGTTAAGTTTGTGGGTACTAGAGAAATAATTTTGAAGGTCAATTATTCCAAGCCAAATATATTAAACTGTAAAATTGTTAAATGACATTAAACTGTGATTTTTTTGAGAAGTTTTTTTTTTTATTTTTTTTTTTGCTATAGCGTGCGTGCACTCGCCAGAAAGAGAGAGAGAAATAGAGAGACAGAAAGCGAGAAATCACCCCCTGGGGGAGGGGGTGGCCACACTGCAATCCCTTCTCCTCCATTCTCCTCTCAAATCCACTCCCTTCGCCTCCATTCTCCTCTCAGGATCTTGGGGGCACACACACACACACACACACACACACACACACGGACGCACCCGGCGTGAGTTTAAGCCACCGTGTCAGGGACTCGAACCGCGGTCAACTACATGGGAGCTCAGCGACATAGCCATTATGCTAACTGCTAGTCCCTAAACTGTGATTTAAAAAAAAAAAAAAAAAATGAAGAAATGGAATCCTTAAAGAAGATGTTAATTTTTGTATATATCAGCATTCTTTACAAGATAGGCCAGAGGAAATATATCTATACTTAAATATTTTTAAGGTAAATTCCTTATTTAATGCTTTTCTTCCAATCATTTCAATGAAAATAATTATTTTTAGAATAATTATAAGTAGGCTCATCCCATAGCCTTCTGAAGAAGGGAGCTGGATCCCACATGGCTGACCACGGTTCGAATCCCAACCTTGGCAGCTTGAAAAACATGCCAAATACATGTGAGTGTATGCCCAAACCCAACAGGATGGAGAAGTGGAGAAGAGGTTTTGGCATGACATCCCCCATTAGTGGGTGCTTTCTACCTTTCTCTCATTCTCTATTCTGGCAAGTGCACAGGCTCTCTGGTAATTAAAAAAAAAAAAAAAACATATTAATCATTTGATATAGGGGTAAATTCACAGAGGCAGAGAAATTTACATGTCCCTCTATTTTCAGCCACATAAGATTTATCAAGCACCTTCAAAAATACAACTGGACAAAAAAAAAATTTTTTTAATAATTATAAAAACATCAAGAATAAAATACTGGGACCAGCAGTTAGCATAATGGCTATGTCGCTGGACTCCCACGTAGTCTACCGTGGTTCAAGTCCCGGACCCGGTGGCTTAAACTCACGCCGGGCGCGTGTGCGTGCGTGCCCAAGATCCCGAGAGGAGAGTGGAGGAGAAGGGATTGCGGCGTGGCCATCCCCCCTGGAGGGTGATTTCCTGCTTTCTGTCTCTCTGTCTCTCTCTGTCTGTCTGGCGAGCGCACACGCCCTATAGCAAAAACCTCTCAAAAAAAAATAATAAATAAAAAACCTAAAGAATAAAATACTAAAAAAAGGTGACATGATGGTTAAGGCACTGGACTCCTACATGGCAGACCACGATTTGAGCCCCAGACCCACTGAGCGTGTGTGCGTGCATGCCCAAAATCTCAGGAAGAGAATTGAGAAGGGTCTGCAGGATGGCCACCCCACCCCTAGGGGCTGCTTTTTCACTTTCTTTCTCACTGTCTCTCTCTGTGTCTTGTCAGTGAGCACACACACCACATGGCAAAAACCTAAAAAAAGAAAGTAAAATAAAAATGAAACATAATCAGCTAAAGTAATCATGCTATATCTTATTTCATAAGATCATATAATTCTGTAATGAGACAATTTCACTAAAAAAAAAATACTCCTTACCCAATTTTGTCTGAGAGTATATGTGTTGTATTAGACTTACTTCTGTTGGCCAAGAGAAACAAGTACAGTACATTCAAACTAACCTTCCAAATGCATTAAATAATGATACTATTTCTTGTCTGGTCAGATGGAATTCGTAACTGGGTCCACTTTCTGGCATATTTGCTATCAATTTCTCAGAAAACAAGATCTTCAGAGCAGTGCCCAAGCCCTGAGTCTATAATAGAAATAAAAGAAAAATAAGAAAATTCTTCATGCAAATGATAAATGAGAAACAGGACTGAGCTAGGTTTGCTTACCTGAAGCTTTCCCCACAGCCGGCACTTAAAACAACCAACGCAATCCATGATTCTTGAAATGTTTCTAAAATGCAGCCGAAAGTCCTCCTAAAAACAATTTAACAACATTTTATTAAGATGTAATGGAGGGAACCAGCAGTTAGTGTAATGGCTACGTTGCTGGACTCCCACGTAGTCGACCGAAGTTCGCGTCCCGGACCCGGTGGCTTAAAACTCACGCCGGGTGCATGTGCGTGCGTGCCCAAGATCCCGAGAGGAGAATGGAGGAAAAGGGATTGCGGTATGACCATCCCCCCTGGGGGGGTGATTTCTCGCTTTCTGTCTCTCTGTCTCTCTCTGTCTGTCTGGCGAGCGCATGCGCCCTATAGCAAAAAAAA